ATAAATGAGTTCTTTTCCATGTTATTTTACTAAGGCATCACAAAACTGATCCTTCAACCTCTCATAAAAGGCATTCCTTCATTTTGGCATTTGGACAAATCTCCCTGCTTTTGGCATGCAAAAAGCCCAAGGACTCTTTTGACTTTGCCCACAGAGTATGAAATAGCTCTAGGAATGGAGAAGAAAGATGGAAGCTTTTACAGCATCAGAAGTGACAGCATGTGGATCATTAGCAGGGGCAGATTGTTTTAAGCCTGTTACACTATAGTAATCAATGAAAAGCAACCAATTTCTGTGTACTACATATTTCCAAACATGCTTTCTTCCCTTCTACATTGCTATTGTTAATATTACACACTGATTTACTGATGCTATACCTACCATAAAAGAAAACTTGTCCCGAGCATAGACTGGAAGAAAGATTTGGACCTGAGCTCAAGGTTCAAATCCTGATTTCTCCTTTGTTGCCTGTGTGACCTTGGGTAAGTCACTTACCCTACTGTTTATTTATAAAATGAAGAAGCTGGACAAGATGACTTTTAATGTCTCTTCCAGCTCTAAATTCTATTATTCTATGATCAATAATATTCACCGTTAATAAATAACACTTAAAAAGACATTCAGTAACATGTTTAATATGGTGGATCACAAGACTAAAGTATAGTTGAAAGATACTTGGACCTGGCTAGAATCAGAACATTTAGGTAGCTGAACAGCATATGAACTCAGGCAAGTTTAGGCTATGAATAATTGTCTGGAAAAAGTTAAGCTCTAATAAATAGCCTTTGAATGTAACTGCTTCCAGTTCTGTACCTCAGTTTCCTCACCTCCAAAATGGAGATATACTTTCAATATCTACAAGTATAGAACTTTATTTTTTTTGTCTCGTGCCAGTGCAGCAATATATGTATAAATTCTTTGTAGCCCTAAAAATTACACAATTATGATTCAATCAGAAAGGGACCTGAGGGTTCACCAGTCTAGTCTAACTCCCTTATTCTATTGATGAGGAAGTCAAATCCCAGAGAGGTGGTGACTTGCCCAAGGTCACATAGGCAGGCAGTGACAAAACTTGAATTGGAACTCCGAATTTCTAATTCTAAAACCAGCACTCTCAGCTATTATTTGTCCTCACTCCAGTACTACCTGGATGGATTGCTATGGACAAGCTATTGCTGTTCTCTGAGGTTCAGCTTCCTCCCCTTTAAAACCAAGGGGTAGCCTGTGATCTGTAAATTGAAAATCCTGAAGACACTACCACTCCTTTCATTCACACTAGATGAAGAAAGTCATTACCAGTTAGAACTTCTGGAAGTCTAAGAATTAAATACAATGACAAACCAAATTGGGGGGAAAAAGTGTAACAATTTAAATCATTTTCACAAATTTGAGATCAGCATCCAAAGGCTTCCAATGAGCTTCCAATTTACTCCTGAAAATCTCATCCCATTAACTCATGAAATAGGAATGACAATAAAAGGAATCTCTTTGTTAGGGAACAAAGCTGTCATACTATCCCACAGCCAGCCAATGATAGGAAGTGCAAGGAGAGAAGGATTATAAGGGAGAGGCTGTGAAGTTTAGGCTGTGATAAGTTGCCTGAAAAGAGTCAAGCCATAATAAGTTGCCTTTGAACCTAAATGCCTCCTCAGCAAATGCTCTTTGAAGAATCTATTTCAGACTGCCAGCAGCCTGCATTTCAGGACTATTCTTCACAATCTCAAATATGCATTACGAAGCAGGGGTAACTGTTTCTCAGTCAAAGAGGAAAGAGAGGGAGGAAAATGCTTTAGGTAAGAATTATAGCTAATGTCTGCTGATACCATACATACTCTGTGTGTGTGTGCGTGTGTGTGTGTGTGTGTGTGAGAGAGACAGACAGACAGACAGGCAGACAGACAGAGACAGAGAGAGAGAGACAGAGAGAGAGAGAGACAGAGAGAGAGAGAGGTTCAAGGCAGCTTGGTGTGGTGAATAAGTCTTGAAGACAGGACAACTGAATTCAAGTTTTTCCTCAGATATAAACTAAACTGGGTGACCGCGGGCAAATTGTCTGGTCTCTCAATACCCCCCAGTCAACTTTCTAAAGCCATAAATTACAGAGGAGTTGTAGATCTGAATCAGTAGAAGGTATTTCCACACTAGAAGTTCTCCCCATCAATGAAACCATGTGTTCAGATATAGAATATCCATCCATCCATCCATCCATCCATCCATTCATCTATCTATGTACCTATCTATCCATCCATCTATCCACCCACATCTATCCATCCATCCATCTATCCATTCACATCTATCTATCTATTCATCCATCTGTCTATCTATCTATTCATCCATCTATCCATCTATCTCTGTCATTCATACATCTCTTAAGGCTGAGGTCAAATAATTGTGTAAATATATGTTATTTATACATACTTACATAAATATATATTTATACACTTAAATATAGATATATACACATGTGTAAATGACATGTACACACACACTGAATAGTTATCTAATGGTTGATATATATAAATATATATCATATATACATGCACACACACATAAATGTGTTTCTATGGTGGTAAAGTATTGTATACATGCATGTGTGTGTATATTGTGTTTTATATCATATAGACATATAAATAATTTATCTATACAGTATACATGCCTGATTTCCCACCACTCTATATTATATATAACATACAGTATATACCTAGTTCATATGCATGCACACAACACAACACATATATTATGGATGTATAAATACCCACATACTGAATGAGTTAAAACTGATCAGTCAATTCACCTCAGTTCAGAAGGCATTCCCTCCTAAGGCTGTGGTATCACTTCATACATTTTGATGACTTGGTTCTTAGGTTCCCCTCACAATTTGTTGAAAAGTAAAAATAAAACAAAAATTCCTGAGTCAGCGCCACGGAGACCCTCTTTCACTCCTCAACACATTCACCTCTCCCACTCCCTCCCCTCCCATCTAATTCTTCATGCTCTGCCTCCATTCAGTAAAGATGCTGCCACATCTTACCCCACTGAACGCTGCCCCCCAAATCCCAGAGATCAACTAGGGATACCGCAGCCGCTGCGGATCTATTCAAGCCGCTCAAGCTTCATTAGGAAGATAGGGACCCTGCGCAGTGGAGGAGCGAGGAAGGGAGTGTAGGAGGGAAAGGAAAGGGAAGTGCAAGGGGGGGGGGAGAGTAGAATGGAGAGGGAGGGAAGAGAGCAAAAGTTCACAGCCCTTCTGCTTTTTCAGTAGAACAATCTAGTTAACCTGGGAACAACATAATCAGGGAGAAAGCTCCTTCCTGGCCTCTAGGCTACCCATTGGGTTAAGGTTATCAGTAGCGTGCCAAGGCTTTAGGGCAGAAACTCTCCAATCCAGCAGACCTCTGCTCCTTGGGAAGTGAGATTCCGCCAGGCACCAAGGCTCAGGGACACTCCTAATCCCTTCCCACCCCCCATTCCTCCTGTCTCCTCCCCATCCTTCCACGAGAAATTAAACGAGAGCAGGACTGCTTAATTTTTGTCTCAGTATCCCTGCACCTAGCCCTGTGCCTTCTATTCCAATTCAGCTCCATACAACAAGCATTGGTAAGGGCCAACTACCTGCCAGGCAGGTTTAGTCACCGGGAGCACAAAGACCAATCGCCTATGCTGTGTACTTGACACATAGTACCCGCCCTTAATCTATATAGCACGTTAGCGTTTATAAAGAGCTATGCAAACATCTCGTTTGATTCTCACAACAACCCTGGGAGGCAGGCGCAATTATTATCCTCATTTTATGGATAAGGAAATTGAGGCAGACAGAGGTGAGCTTTACAAACATTACTTCATTTGATCCATACAACAACCTTGATAGGTAGGTAGGTGCTATTATTATCTCCACTTTACAGATAAGAAAATTGAGGCAGACATCAGTTAAGTAACTTGCCAGGGTTACTAAGTGTCTGAGGTTAATTCTGAATTCAGGGCTTCCAGATCCAGGCTTCAGCCTTCTATCCAATATGCCACCTAGTTAAATGCCTGTAGCAAGGATTTGAAATGAATTCGAATGAATTCCCTTCTTTCCGACCTACGCCTAGTCCTCAAGATCCCCTATGTTTTCCAGTCCTAGCCCCACCAGCAGCAGACGTCCTAGATCTTGAGGGGATCTCTGAGTAAAGAGAGAATTCACTCCGCCCAGGAAAAGCGAGTCACCTCGCTATTAATCCAGGGGAAAAGAGGAACCCACGTTTGGGACTCCTCCTTCCGAGGAAACGCAATTCTGTCAAAAACGCGCGTGACGTTAGAGGGGGACCTGAGGGTGAATGGGGAGGATGTGAAGGAGAAAAGGGAAGAGAAGAGGAGGAGGAAAGCTGGGAGCGCCTGCCGGTAACTTCTCACCAAGTGCGTTTTGCCCTCCCCAGCCTCACCACGCATTCTTCAAGAAGCAGCGGGATACTCGGCGCTCTGCCCAAGCACCAGGCACCCATTGCACTCACTCTGAGACGCTCGGAAAGCTGCCCCGAGACTGAAAACATGCAGCTCCAAGCCTGGAGTTGGTCCTCCTGTCCTGGGGGCAAAGCAGGAGGGAAAGCAGCAACTTCCCCAGGGCACCCACAGTTCTTCAGAGCCACTCCGTCCCCAGTCCCCAAAACAGCCTCAGTTAACCCACTCTGCTGTCCATCCCCAACAGGCCAGGCCAATCCGCACCCTCCACCCCGCCCCCCACCCCCCATGACCTGGGGCCGCCCACTAGGAATTCTCAGCCTGGTCCCGCCACCCGCGCGCGCGTTCATTCCGCGGATCTAGAAGGAGGATCGATGCTCTCTGAACCATCCCCTTCCCCGGTCCCCACTTTTTCTCCTCTCCAGTCCGTATGCCCCACGATGGGTATGCCCCTCTTGTCCCGCTGGACCCCTCATCCAGCCCTACTTAATCTCTCTCCCGGCTTCCAGGAGAGAATTCCTATGCCTACTCCCGTGTGAGCCCCGAGGACCGCTAAAACTCACTCCATTCAGCTCCAGCTGCCTTCTCCCGGGCGCTTCCCGCAGCTCGGGGAGGGGATGAGCAAGACCAGACCAGGGAGGTTCGCGAGCCCCTTCCCCTCCCCCAAGCGACGTCCTCCCCTGAGCTCAGCTCCTTGCCTCTGGCTGCCTGGAGGAGGACTGCCGGCTAGCCAGGCGCGCGCTCGCGTGCAGCCCCCGGGCGGATCGGGAGATGTGGGTTGGGAGGAAGAAGAGAGGGAGGGAAGGAGGGGGCGGTGCATCGAGGGGGCCGGGGTGGTTCAGACCTGGGTTCTCAGCTCTGCCAACTCCTAAGTTCATTGTCTACGTCCTTAGCCCATAGCTCTAGCCGCTGCTACCGCCGTCTTCTCTGCTGCTGCTGCTGCTGCAGCAGCCGCCGCCGCCGCTGCCACCGCCTCTGCCGCTAGAAGAGTGCGGGTTGGGAGAGGGAGGCTATGCGCACGCAGCCTCGGGTCCCTGTGTCTCCGAGGTGCTCTACAGCCTTGGGGTGTCTGGCTGCGACCGCTGCAGCCACCGCAGCTCCCTCCGGCCGCTGCCTCCCACCCCAGACTTGGAACTGGGCAGTTCTGGCCATCGCAAACCCTGTCCACCCCCACGCACAGTTGCACGGGAAGAAATGCACTGGTTGTGAGTGAGTGTGTGTGTGTATGTGTGTGTGTGTGTGTGTGTTTAATCACTTGTATGTTTTCACTAATTGTGGGTGACGAAACTTGTATCTGGAGTGTGCAAACGGGGCCCCTCATAAAAGCGATCTCGAGTCCCCTTTAAATGCTCCCTGATCCAACTGATGAACAGAGAGAAAGAAAAATGTTCAAGAATGAAGTGAATACAACACGTTACTGATAAACACTCCGATAACGCATCCCGTTCTCAACCACCCCTCCCACTCCGGTGGCTCTGGGACACAATTCGTCTCCAATTTGCAATGTGCAATTAAGAAGTTTTAGCTCACTGGGTTTGGTTATTGTTGTTATTCTTGCCTTGAAGTAAACACTTTAAAGTGATGCTATGATACAATTAAAAAGCAAACAGAAAACTCTATCCAAATGGAGAGCAGCAATTACTCACTGCCAGGGACATTCGGAAATAACTTCAAGGTCTGGAGTCAACCCATACATTGATATTCAAGGCCACAGTACATATGGGGTGGGTGCCCACTTTTTTGCTTTTTTTTTTCTGATCAAGGGGACCCTTGCTTCTTGTCAGCCATGAATGTTTGCTTATGCTTGGAGTGCAAAGGCTCAAAGAGATTCCAGTTCCATGGTTTGCCACAACTGACTCAGAGGCAGCTGCCTGAGGAAAACACCTGGTTAAGGCTCAGAAGAAGCCTGTAATTTGAATATGTTTAATCTCCTTTCTCAGGATTGACGATGCTGTCAGTTAAAAAATGGACACTTCACAGAAATCTGAAAAATAGGCTTACTTAAGAAAAAATATTGCAGTGTTTAGTATGTTTAGAACTGGTATATCCTGTTTTGTGAAATCAAGATCTTTTTATTCCTGCTTTAACTTCAGGTCCTCCCCTGCACTGTAGTCCACAGTGATGTCATAAATCTCTCCATTGCAACTAATTTTGAGGTTATAATCAGGGGATTATTACTTCAGGCAGGGGGGAAATAGGAGGAATAAATAAGTTCTTCAAAACAATATCCTGTTTTCGTGCAAAATACTAATCTAAAATTAAAAAATCTACCAAGAAAGATTAATGGGGAAAATGGACTTAGCAATGTTTGCTTGGAATAGATCTGTTCTTCATGTAGAACAACTGAGCCTTTAAAACAACCACAAAAAAAAACTCCCCCCCCAAAATACAATGAACTCTTTTTTGCTACATTCACAATTCCCAGTAGATGATGATGCCATTTTTCAAATTCTTACATAGCTGCTCCATTTGGGTTTATTTATTAGCTACCAAGAAAAGACCCCTTTTTCCCTCGGTAAGGTTTATGTAGACAAATAATTGCATCAATGGGGACTCGGAGTCACAGAGTGACTAAAGAGAGCTGGTTGTACATATGTAGATAGAGAAGGCTCTCGGCCAGACAGCCATCAGTTCATGGTGTCCAACCGGTTTAAACAAACATAAAGAATGTTAGAGGCAAACAGCGAAAGGAAATTCCCCTCCTGTAAGCTTGAATGGGGAAAATATTCAGTGACCACACATACCGAGGCCTTTACTTCTCTCCATGTAAACACATAACTCAGTTATGGAAACAGACCAGTGTGAGCACACATCCCTTCCAAATTCATATGCTAAGAATGAGAGCTGACATGTTGTAAATTGTGTTTAAATAAAGTAACTGGATGACTTTGATTTGGATTTCCCTACAGTTTTTTTGGACACATGGTCAGACAAAGGATGCTCCTTCTCTGAAGCTACTTCAAAACACAACTTTCTTTTTTTGAAATGAGGTGGAAAGAAGAGCCAGTACATCTAGAGTTTGCATCATCATATCTAAGGCCCCTTTCAACCATTTTATGACTAAAATGAAGGAAGGATATCTGGAAAAACTGAAGGGTACTCAGGATTGTGGAAGAGTAAATGCATTAGTAAAGGATATGTGGCAAGAGTCACAATGATACACATAACAGTAATAACAGCTTACATTAATATAGCATTTTAAGGTTTGAAAAGCCCTTTATTTTCCTAGGGAAGGGGTTACACTTTGTAAATAATTTCACTTTTCCCTTGTCTGCTTGGATCCCCATAACAACCTTAGGAAATAGACACTATTATTATCATCCCCCTATTAAAGATGAGAAAACAGACTGAGAGAGTGCCCTCACCAGAGACACACAGTTATTACATCTTAGTTGGAATACGAACCTATGTCTTTGTAATCCCCAGTCTAGCTCCATGAAACTGGATCTGGTTGGTCAGGAAGACCCGATTTGGAGTCCTAACTCTGACATGGCTGAAATTCAATTTCCTGCTCTATAAAATGGGAGCAATGTTTGCACCTACTATGGTGCAAACCGTGTGGTATCATTTAAAGCAGGATTACTTGAGTTGCAATCCTATCTTTCCTACTTACTGTACCTATGTGACTTAGGCAGTTGACCTTCCTAACAATCAATTTCCATATCTTTTCAATAAGAAGTTTGCCCTCTCTAAAGGATCTCTTAAAATAGCTTTCTGTTCTAGATTTATGCTTGCAATTTACAAAGTGCTATGTAAAGGTAAGCTATCATTATTAATAGAGAGATGACAAATAAACAGTAATTTTCTACATGCCAATCTGCCTACATCTGGGTGACCTGAGGTGCTTCTACTTCCTAATTATCACCCACATCATATCAGTTAGAGCTACACTCCTTTAAAAGCATAAGATTTTTAGCTTTTAAAAGATTCTGGTCCCCACCACTTCCCCCACAAAGGAGAATATGGCATAGGTAGGCAACATGTTCTTTATCACTTAGCAATTACTAGCCAAAACAGACCCAGTACCAAAGGGATAAAGAAGGGCAAGGGAGGGAAGTGGGCTGGCCCCAAAGAAAAACTTTTCCTACTTTATGACATTAATTAGACTTGCCCTGTGTATAAGACCTGGACCAGGGCTGCAGCTCTAGAGTCAGCTTCCAATTTCTTCTACCAATAAGTGACCTACCTCTCTGTATTCTGACTGACATATTTAGACTCTGCAGCAATCTGAAGTGCATTTAAATTACATAAATTTAGAAATACTGTGGTTAGACAGAACTCTTCTACAGTAATACATCCATTAAGTGCACTTTAAACCAATTTTGGTGTGCTAATCCATCACCAATATACATGAAATTTGGGGTCTTGTGAAAATTTCCTATACCTATTCCAAAATCTAAATCTGAACTCTAATTATGCCAGATAGTAGCTCCTATAATAATTCATTGAGAAGATAGTCAATTTTTTTTAACAAAACTGAAGCAACAGGTATGAGATGTAAGTATAAAGTTGTGAGATTGCTTTTTGGAAGCTAATACTGGCCCATGTTTCTGAAGCTTTACAGTTTATAAATCAATTATTCTTCACAACAATACTGGGAGGTAGGTAATATAAGCATTATCATTCCCATTTATTGTTGTTGAGTTGTTTTTCAGTCCTGTCCAACTTTTCATGATCCCATTTGGCATTTTCTTGGCAAAGATACTGGACCAGTTTGCCATTTTCTTCTCCAGCTCTTTTTACAGATTAGGAATCTGAGAAAAATAAGCTCAAGTGACTTGCCCAGGATCACATAGCTAAAGAGTTTCTGAGGCCAGATTTGAACTCAGGGAGATGAGTCTTCCTGACTCTCAGCCCAGCAGTCTATTCACCGTGCCGCTGGCTGTCCATTATCCCCATTTAGCAGTGAGGAAATTGAGATTTAAGACTAGGAGAAGTGCATACATAGCAACCTTTGCTCTGTAATCCTACTCTTTTGTACATGCAAACAAAGGGCATCCCATTGTAACAATGCTGCCATTTCTGGAATCTCTTTGGGAGCTACCTTTAGAGCTAGTTTATCAACTGTGTAAGAAAATCACAGATTTTTAAGCTGGAAGGCCATCTAGTCTAAACTCTTTATTTTATAAACAGGAGAGCTGAGCTCTAGAGAGGTTGAGTTACTTGCCCAAAGACACACAGGTAGTTAGTCATAGAGACAGAATTTGAACGCAAAGCCTCTGGCCTTTCATCTAGCATGCTTTCTACTGCATTTGATGGCATAAAGGGTTGGACTCCAAGTCAAGGAGACCTGAGTTAAGTTCCTTCCTCAGATATTTGCTAGCTGTGCCACCCTGACAAAGTTCCTAACCTCTCTTTAGCTTCATTTTCTCATCTATAAAATAGAAACAATAATAGTCCCCACCTCACAAGATTGTTGTGAGGATCAAATAAAATTATATATATAAAATTTTTCATTCAATCCTCACAACAACCCTGTGAGGTAAGGGTTATTATTATTCCCATTTTATAGATGAGTAAACTGAGGCCAAAGAGAGGTTAGGAACTTTGAAAAGGTTAAGTTCTTATTATTACTTTCATAGTCTTACAGTGAAGGTTGATTGGTTTAGTCTTGCCCCAAATTGCACCTTCCAGTTTGATTACCCATTTCATCCTCTAACCACAGCTAAAAATGACTTGTGGTTGGTTCGAAAAAGATAAAGATTTGCCATATTTGAAGACATTCAAAAGAGAACATCACAAGCTAAGAAAG